GAGTATATTATGACTCAGCTCAATACGTGGGGTATGACTGGTAACTTGGAAACTTTTCGGCAAGGAGCGTCGGCATACAGGAATGCCCGAGATTGGGCAAAGGAAAAGAGGGCTGGAGTTATTAGGGCGGCAAATGAAAGATTCTCAGAGACTGAGTCCCAATGTCATTCTGCATCTCAGCACCAGACGAACTCCGACATAGCTGCTACCTTAGATGATTCCGATATTTCAACTGTGACTGATGAAACCGAGGATGCGCAATGGAGCTTTGCTGCTGCAAACAAAGATGTGGAAGATGAAACCCAGATTCTGAGCAGAAACCCCAAAAAATCAAGGGTGGGTGATATAGCTGGGAATAAGATTACTCGGCGTTTAAACTGAAGCATTGTCAGCTTCCGTCGGCCTGTATAAGCTGGTGGATTTAGAAGACGCATCCAGCCCTTCTATATCCAGACGCAGTATATGTTGTCTATACCGACCTAGGCTATGCGAGGCACATCTGTCATCATCGCCGCAAATATCAACATTTGCATAATTGCCTTCATCGCGAGTCCTCTATGATCGTTTGGCCGTTTGGGGGTTAGTAGACAGCTCAGGAAAAAAGGAACTGTCCTTGAACCCTGACTAGAAAACAGAAAAGGCAGAAGTGGAGGCCTACAATAGGTGCTGTAGTGGGACGAGCTGTGTGTAACCATCAATATTGAGCAGTTTTGACGACTATAAACTGTTTATTGCAATAACCCTTTGCGGAGATGAAAATGGGCTGTACAGTGAGCATATCGGCCGTGATCTTGAGCCTCGCTTTTCAGTTTCCAGGCCCTGTTTACAGGCTCAAAAGGCCGCCAACTAAGCTGATCTGGATGGGCGCTCTTGTACCGCGATGAAACCCAACACGGATTCTGCTGGCGCCGAGCGCTGCGAATGCAATCACCATCCAAGTCTACCCTAGCTGGGGGGCCTACTCCGCTTGTGACTCATGATTCTCTCTTTTGAGCTCTGCTGTGCCATTCGCCCTCCTCAAATCGAGATGTCAACCAATGAACCTCCCGCCAAAGCTGGAGCCTAGTCGACTGCCAAATGTTATCAAGCAACATCCATAAAATTTATTACGAGGTAATGCATGCAGATCCCGTGTAAATTTAATGAGCGCAGGAGCAAATGACAACTGTGGATGCAACCTGCTGCTACCATGAACGTGCGCTCAATCAATTCCAGATAACTGTTGTGTCCACGAGCCAAAAGAAATATCCATGTCCACACGCGACAGCACATTCATGCAAGCCAACATTCACCACCCCCGGTCTCACCTCACGCCATGGAAAGAAACACACTGGAAAAAGATATGAATGCTCGGTGTGCAATAAGTCGTTTGTACAAGAAGACAATATGAATGTACATCTAAAAACTGTCTGCCTAAGGAACACCTTGAGAAACCCAGCGCCTTCCACCCCAACAGGCAAGAAACGTCCTGCCACTGTCGTCGAACATGAGGAGCGTCGAATTTCAGCGGGCTATTGACATGGCAATGCCTCTGAAGAGCTGCCATTTGAGATATTGACACGAGAAATTGTCAAAATATACAAGGCTCTTTCGACAGCTGAAATAAGACATAGAAGATGCGAAAATCGCACACATTACAAAGTTGGATGAAAAACAGTGGTCCAATCTGATTGAATGTCACCAAACCTTCCTTCATCACCATTATAATTTACTCAGATATACACAACATCCAGTCGGCGACAGAGAAATTTTTGCAACCCCTGTGACTTGTAAAATACCCTCTCGCCTGAATTTTGCTGAGCAGCATGCATTAGTGAGCGGAACGGCCCGGAACGCATGGGACGAGCTATTCCCGTTACTTATTGTCATTGGCTGCAAGCTGTCAGACGATCAGTTGCTCCTCTGAGTTTACAAACATAATTTGAAGGAAAAATTGTTTGCTACGTGTATACATTCATGCTGAAAGACATGTGCCACTTGGCCCATCTGTATTGGTAAATGGTAATGTGCCGCTGTTATAAGTACTATCATGCCACCCTGGCATTTGATCAGTGTCAAGATGATATGCTCTTGAACAGGCAAACTTTCAACTGAGCTTGCTTATAGTAGTCTCCATCCCCAGATCTCTACAGTAAGATGGCCCTTTAATTAGAGTGCATGCATCAATCTAATGAAGTTGAACGCTGCGGTACAGATATGAGTAAAAAAATGCTTATGTATCTCTATTCACCACTGAGATGAAATGTCTCTTCAAGAGAGAATATACAAGACATACAATGCATACCACTGAGAAGTTTTATTAGCATTTAAGAAGTTCAACAGCCGTGACAACATGGCATATAATGTTTCAGACAGTGTTCAGTTGAATGGTGAAACTGAGCAAGATCTGAACTCAGAAAGAGACTGATTTTTCAGAATTAAAAACAATATGAATTTATTGAATAATAAACAATTAATCAATCAGATTATGATTGAAAAAGTTTCTTTATAAATGATTGAAAATGATTTTGAAACCATTTTCAGAGACGTTGCTCTGCCGGATAAAAAATTAAAAAAAAAGATGTTATCATTGAATTTGAAATGTCATATTCACTTTACAAAATGAATTAATAATATTGAACTTTAATATTGAAGAATTCAAAGTCTGAATATTGAATTATATCAATCAATGCCTCACTAACTCTAATTCAAGCAATGTTTATGATTATAAATAGACAAATTAATTGTATGAAATATTTTCTAATTCATTACAGAGTTTTTAAAAAAGATGTTCTGTTATGAACTCATCTGTATATGAAGAAACTTTGAATTTGATGCTTTCAAATCAATTTAGCGCTTTAAATAAAGTGTAATATATTTTTATTAAATTTCAATATTCTGAGTATCAATCTGTAAATGATCAGTCAACAACTTTCACAAATTCTGCCATTGTGAATGATAATATTTTGTGGGGTCAAATCTATTTCTCAAAAATCTGAGCTGTGTTTTTCAATGAAATATCACTCTATAAAAAAGAGTGGAAGCTGAAATGAGATTGAAATGAGCCGACTAATTGACTTTCAATATAATAATCAAAAATGGCATCGCTTTGTATGGATGCAACCACTTCTTTTTTGAAAAGGATGAAGTGTTCATAGTTGAGTCAAGATAGTTGCAATATCATTGAGAATGATTTCTTTTTCCTTGGATTTCAAACAGCGTATTCACAAAGTTTCAAGATCAGTATTTTGAATGTGATTCATCATTATATATATACTCTCTGATTTATTGTATGAACACTGCATTCAAGAAATTGAAATTGTGATATTGTAATGTGACGGCGCCGAGGCGATTGCTACTCGGCAGCGGCACAGAGGAGGATGGTATATAATGGGAAGCCTTATGGGTGGGCTTGATTATCTCGCTTGAACCGCGAACTCGTAGAATACTATACAAATACTGAACTACCAGAGGTACTCGGCACACTATGAATATTGTATGAGGACAGTGGTAACTCTGGTATCTTATTGCAAAGAAAAAGACGAATCGCTGGCTCCTGGAATATAGAGCCAGCATCTAGCTATTCTATATAGACAACGGGCAGCCAGCCTCCCCTCACTCTATAAGCGAGGGTAGCCGAAGCAACTCCGAATTGGCGCTGCATTGATCTGCCAGAAGGAATCTAGACCCCGTATAGAAACAGGATTCTCATATCTCATCAATCGGATCCTCTTCTATTGCATCCGAATGATGTCATAGGGTGGTTGGAAACCGGTTCGGATACCTGCGTGACGTTATGGGATAGATGGGATTATCTGAGGGGAAGCGATGGGCCGTGTGGAGCCGCCACGGGGCCTTGGCACAACCAAGGGTGTGACATTTATATTTAGACTGTAAGTCATAGATCTCAAATCTGATAAGAAATTATTATACAAATTGATATATAATTGTAATGTGACGGCGCCGAGGCGATTGCTACTCGGCAGCGGCACAGAGGAGGATGGTATATAATGGGAAGCCTTATGGGTGGGCTTGATTATCTCGCTTGAACCGCGAACTCGTAGAATACTATACAAATACTGAACTACCAGAGGTACTCGGCACACTATGAATATTGTATGAGGACAGTGGTAACTCTGGTATCTTATTGTCAAAAGATAAAAGACGAATCGCTGGCTCCTGGAATAGAGAGCCAGCATCTAGCTATTCTATATAGACAACGGGCAGCCATCCTCCCCTCACTCTATAAGCGAGGGTAGCCGAAGCAACTCCGCAGTGGCGCTGCATTGATCTGCCAGAAGGAATCCAGACCCCGTATAGAAACAGGATTCTCATATCTCATCAATCGGATCCTCTTCTATTGCATCCGAATGATGTCATAGGGTGGTTGGAAACCGGTTCGGACACCTGCGTGATGTCATGGGATAGATGGGATTATCCGAGGGGAAACGATGGGCCGTGTGGAGCCGTCACGGGGCCTTGGCACAACCAAGGGTGTGACAATGCCCTCCCCTTTAAAGGCATAGTCCCGATGCCTCAAGATTACCGGATTGGGAATTATCTTTGTTGTGTAGCAACGGTTGCCAACCGCTTTGGCAGCGCGCGCGCTGCGCGGCATAAAGGAATGGGTGAGTCTTATTCGACGTGATTCTTCTGCTGAATGCGCAGTCCTTCTTTTTCTCCCCCCCCCTGGTCTGCAATAGTGAGTGCATGGGAACGTCGTCCTTGGAAGACAGTAAGGGGGCTTATTCTGATGTTTTCTAGTGGGTAAAAAACGTCTACGTGGTGCAGCTGCGGCCTCTGTCGCGGCCAAAAGGGCCAGGTTGGAGGCGGAGGCGGAGACACCTAGCAGCTGTGGGGGTTCTGCTCCTCCCCCCCTGCCGCTGTCACACCGCCCCCCCCCGCCAATCAACAGGGCGATGTATGACCCCGCATGGTCGTTCGGAGAGGACCTCAGGGAGAGCTTGGTTCCGGGGACAGCGGCTCAAATGAGTCCAGTCCGTAGTTCCCCTCCTGCAGAGCGCCCGAGCCCTGCTCAGGGTGCCTGTGGGTCGGGTCCGCAGGGTTCCATGGTTCCTTTGCTTTCTCCTTGTGGGGAAACCCTGGTGCGGCGCCTGGCTGGCACCGCTACCTGCCTTCGCTGCGCCAAGCAGCTTCGAGAAGGGGGGATCCTTTGCACCCGCCCCTCCGCCCATTCACGCTGTTTCCGTTGCGTGAAAAACAACGACACCTGCCTTCCTGTACGTACTGCTCCTTCTGTAACGGCGCCGTGCCGGTTCTGACAAGGCGTATAGGTGCCAAAGCAGTACAGGGCCAAAGTTGTGGATCTCCAGGCGTTGGCGGATTCCGTCCGTTCTGGGGAGGTTCCCAAGGCCCGTCTGGAGAAGGAGGCGAAAGCGTGGGTCTCCGAGGTGGAAAAACACTTCAGAATGGCCGGCCCTAAGAAGAAGGGGTCGGCCGGCGCCGCCGTTGGAAGCGCCACGGAGACAAATCGTTTGTTGGAGAGGATCTCGCTCCAATTGGAGCAGGTGACTGAGGTGCTTTGCAAATTGGTAAGTTGACACTTTGTTGTACTTTCCTACACCCCCCTGCGGCGCCGCAGCGCTAACTCCACGGCAGGCAAAGGTGCCGGTGCCAGGGACTCCGTCGGTGGAGGAGGAGTTCGGTGGGGGTGAGGTGGTGGAAGAATGAGGCCTTCAGGTGTTTTCTTCGATCTTCGTGGGCTTCGGCCCTTATAGAATAATAGCGACCCTCAGGCCCAAATAAAATTGCATTAATTGTTGGTTCTTCATATCCCTTTTTTCCTTCCTACCGCTCTGAGATCTTTGAGCTGCGTAACCTCATTAAACTCCTAAAAACCCCTAGGGAAAAATAGGAGAAGAGTGTTACAGCGTCTTCGAGGCACCGGCTCACCACCGCGAGATCATCTCTAAAAAACCCTTTGGGAAAAAGAAGAAGTCTCAAGCAGCAGCTCTTGCCTAACCACACCTCCGACGTGCAGCGGGGCGGTCTCTACTAGCCACCTCATATTTTGCGATCTCTTCCTCGGCATTCTCTAAATGCTCAAGCGGTTCCCATGAGTTCTCGGATGATGGATAACCTTCCCATTTGACAAGGTATTGAACTTTGTTGTAGTGCATTCGTTTGTCCAATATTCCTTCTACAAGATATTCGGTATTACCCTCAATCTCGAGCCCATCCGGCCGAGGCGGCTCCGCCCCGGGTCGTTGCTTATAGGGTTCCAAATAGGAAATGTGGAAGACAGGATGGATAGATTTGAATCCTGAGGTTAGTTTCAACTCATATGCCTGCTTACCCACTACCCTTATTATCGGGAAAGGTCCCAACCATCGCTCACTGAGCTTCTTGCACGGTCTCGTCGTCTTGATGTTCTTTGCTGAAAGTAACACTTGATCCCCTATTGAGAACTTCATTGGAAGGTGTTTTCGATTATAGTATTCCGCCTGTCGCTCCTGGGCGCGGCGGATGCTTTTCGCCGCCTCCCCGTGGATTCTATCCAGAAGCTCCAATCTAGCTTTTACTTCTGGCACCGAGGGGTACTCTGTCCCACGATCCCGTTCGCCATTCCGACTGTCTATCCCCCCCTTTAGGACGTCGTCCGCGACGTCACTAGGTAATGAAGGATTATACCCATAACAAGCATAAAAGGGGGACACTTTTAAGGTTGCATTCTTTGCATTGTTATATGCGAATTCGGCGGTCGGAAGGTGTCTAGGCCAGTCATTCTGATGATATGAACAGAACGCCCGAAGATGGTGTTCTAATGTCTGATTCTGACGTTCAGTCTGGCCATCTGTCTGAGGATGGAACGCGGTGCTGAGGAGGCGCCTTATCGTAAGGTGATAGCAAAAGGCCGACCAGTATTTACTGGTGAAAAGGGATCCTCGGTCTGACACTAACGATTTCGGAGAACCGTGATCACGAATGATGGCATCTAGAAACAGGTCAGCCAATTCAGGGGCTTTAACCTTCTTGTGGGTAGGGATATATTTGGCCATCTTCGTAAAGCGGTCGACAATAACTAGAATTGAGTCATATCCTTTGACTCTTGTCGACTTCGGCAGGTCAACTATGAAATCCATCGATAGATCCTGCCATGGGCCCTTTGGAACAGGCAGTGGCGCCAACTCGCCATATTGCTTGTGCCGCGGAACCTTTATCCTCTGGCAGACATCACAAGTTTCAACATACTCCTTGACATCTGTCCGAAGCTTGTCCCAAACGTACTTACGTCTCAGGAGCTCTTCAGTCTTCTCTAATCCGAAGTGCCCAGCATGGGGATCATCGTGATGAATCCTCAATAACTCCTGGCGCACCGCCCTGCTACGAGGGACAAAGACTGAACCATTTAGCAGTAGGAGTCCACATTCCCCTAGTTGCCAGCGACTTGGTTCCTCGGCGGCACCGCCCCGCTCAGGGCTTGCCCCTTCCAAGTTCGACCCGGATCCTTCCTCCTTCAACTTCTGGATTCGAGCCGCAGTAAGGGCGTCCCCCTGCTGCAACTCACCAATGAATTCTAGAAGCCGTTGGGTTGGAAGGTTGTAGACCGTTTCGTCTTCCGCCAATTCAATGGCAGCAAAACGTGGCACGAGAAGTTCATGACCTTCAGTGCCAGTCCCCTGCGGGGACCCGAGTTCTCCTCCACCTGTATAGGGTCGCGCAGCTGCCTTACCGGCGCCGTTCGTCGCCGTTCCCAAGCTTTAGAGAACCCCAACCCACGTGAGACAGAGAGCCAGTTTCTTCTGCAGTGATGGTAGAGGTCCCTTTGTAGGATCCTCATCCCCATCAACGATATCATAATCGGGTCGCCTTGATGGCGCATCGGCGGGGTTAAGCCGACCTGGACGGTATCGGATAAAGAAATCATACTCCGAAAGCAGCTCCGCCCACCTGGCTTGACGTCCTGTCAAGCTCTTTGTTGTCAAGAAGTAACGCAAATTTGCATGGTCGGTGAGAACTTGCACCGGATACTTGCAACCTTGAAGGTAGTGTCGCCAAATCTTAAAGGATTCAACTATTGCCAACATCTCTTGATCATGAGTATCATACCTTCTTTGCGTGAGCGATAGCTTCTTGGAGAAGAAGGCCACTGGTCTCCATTCACGGCGCCTTGTAGGTTCTGTGAAAAAGCCTTCTCCTACAGGCATTCCATTGCCTGTATCTCCAGAGGTTATTAACCCCCGATCCTTCCAACGTTGGAAAGTCTCCGGTGTCAACTGCGAAAAGATTCCGCAGACACCATTCCCAGATGCATCAGTTTCACACTGACTGGGTAGGCCGGGGTCGAAGTGATTTAACATCGTGGCATCTGCAAAAGCTTGCTTCAATTCTTCAAACGCCCTCACAGCGTCTTGGGTAAGGATAAACGGTCCCGTTTTCCTGCCTTTAACACTTCCCTTTAACAAATCTGTAAGGGGGGCAGCAATCCGGCGAATACGCATAGATGAACCGTCTATAGAAATTTCGCGAACCCTAGGAATACCTGCACCTCGCGGTACGTGCGCGGCGCCGGCCAGTCCTCGATGGCGGAGACCCGGCTCCTGTCCATTGAAATGCCATCAACCCCAACAATATAACCTAAGAAATCAATCTCCTGTGTGTAGAACGAGCATTTCTCAGTGTTCGCATAGAGCTGGTGTTGCTTCAAGCGATCCAACACCTCCCGAACGTGGGTATCATGTTCTTTTTCCGTTTTCGAGAAGATTAGGATGTCGTCCAAGTATACTATGCAGGAGACATCGACAAGGCCCCGCAGCGCCTCATTTATGTAGGCCTGGAAGGTGGCCGGAGCGTTGCAAAGACCAAAAGGCAAAACGAGATATTCAAAATTGCCGTACTTGGTACGAAAAGCTGTCTTCCAAATGTCGTCTTCGTTAACCCTTATTCTATGATAGGCGTCCCGTATGTCAAATCTTTCGAGAACACCCTTGCTCCGGATAATCGATCGATCATCTCATCAATTTAATGGTAGTGGATAGCGATCCTTAACCGTCACCTTATTGAGGCCCCCTGTAGTCTACGCAGAGGCGTAGCCTCACCGTCCTTCTGGGGCACCGAATATGAATAGGTGGCCCCGGTTGGACTCTTCAATGTGCGTAACCCATT